GGAGCAGATAAAAAGCCATCAGCAGAATTTCCATAAGCCTCCCTTGCCTCAGAGGTCACCATACTGCAAGGCGACACACTGAAATTCATTTTTATTCAACTCCAGCAGCTTATTTAACTGGAGGAAAAGAAAGGATTTAGTTGAATAGAGCCAAAGGCGGTATGAGCCAATGGTCATTCCCACCACACAGGCATTTCCTATTCGGACCAGTGGGTTCCTCTGTGTGCAAAGCAGGAGCGAGTAGGATGCCCAGTGTTCCCTGTCCCTATGCTGCTGCCACCTTCTCTTCCCCATGGGTGAGATCCCATTCCTTAGGGATGTGCAGCTGCTGCATGGCTGTCAAGCTCTGGGTAAAAGCTGGAATCAAAAAGTAAAGCAGTTTGGGGAAATAGCCTGTTTCCAATTTGAGCTACTTAATTAGTTTTTAATTGATTTTTGTTGTTGTTAATTTGAAGCTGGCACAACAAAGGGAAGGCAACCCTGTTCATTTCCGTGTTTCATCCCAGTTTTGAGGACTTCAGTGAGGGTTTGCTCTTCCGAGTAGGAACCAAGACGACCCCAAATAACGTTCAGGTGGTGTCCTGTGAGCAACCACAGTAATATCTCACTGCCCCACATTTAACTGCTGTGTTTCCACTGTAGCACCCACTCCTTGGGTGTCAAACCCTACCTAGAGAAATCAAAATCTGTTTGATTTCTGGACCCAAGAAGGGCAGAAATGAAATCTTGCAAGATATCTTCAGGGGAATCTCAAAAGGATTTAAGGTAATAAGGGAGATTTTTAAAGACAGGCTATTAATTTATGGATGAGGCTGCAGCCGATTTTAAGAAACATATTTTTTAAATAGCATGCACTAAAGCAGAAATTCTCTTACATTTCTAATTTAGTAAGATTGCAGCACTATAGAAACTCAACCAGTGTGCTATTAAGGTTAGGCTGAATAAGAAGCATAATTTGGACATTGCTTCAATAGCTGAGCATGTTCTCAGAAGGCTCAAATCAGTTTTAACCTGATTCTTAACCTGATTCTTACGATAAAAACAATGTGCCTGCACCTTAAAGCTGAATTTCTTTCTAAGGAAGCTTACATTTGATTCAGGTGCAATGACTGAGATCTTGCCTGTATTGCTGCTGTGCTTGCACATTCACATTATCTAGCTGCCTACATAATTCTCTCCTTTGCAAGCACAGTTTGCAGCAAATACTCATGCAAATTAGGCATGAAACCGGGCATTTATCTTGATTACAATTCGGCTTCTATACGCGCTTAAATAACTTCACCTCCTTCGCAGGGAGCTGCAGAGCCGCCAGCGAGAGCATTTCAAGCCTCGCATCCCTCCTGCAGCCACGTTGCTCCTGGCCGCCTTTGGGGGATCCGTCAGGGAAAGCTGCCAGCTGCGCTCCTGCTTCTCCTGCCTCCCGAGTGCCCCGGCGCGAGATGCAAAAGCGCTCAAGGAAACGCAACTTTTCCTTGCAAAGGCTCCCTTGCAAAACGCAATTTAGGGCAATTAGGGAGTTGTCAGGGGTTTGCGCCTCGGGTTGGGGGTTGCTGGTGCTTTGCACCAGCTGGCGCTCGGGGCTCAGCTTGCTCCCAGTCCCCTCATCCCAGGGGGCTCCGAACTTTCCATCTCCCCTAAAGCGCCGCCGTGGGACGCGGTGCTCTGGGCGCCTATGTGGCTTCTTTGGGGATGCCGCTGGACTTGTCCCCACGCTGCCAAAGGACACGACGCCCACGCACGTAGGTGTTTCCCCCGTGTGACTTCCAGCCTCTGGGGCGGCAGAAGCCCCTTCCTGCGAGATCTTCTCCGCGCAGGGCGGTGTTGGGGGCGCGCAGGGTGTGGGGCCGCGGGCCCGGGGCTCCCTCTAGCCGCGCGCGCGGGGATGTCGCGGCGCTCGGCCGGGCCTCGGCGCGGCTTCCGCGGGGAGCAGAGGGGGAAGCGACACCCAAATTAAGCAGCACCGAGAGCAGGGGGGGCTCCGAGGCCGCGCTGCGCGCCCGGCAACAGGTAGGGGCGAGCCGCTGCGCTCCCCGCTTGCATGATTCCCCCTCCGCCCGGCACCCCGCTTTGCAGACACCTCCTTGGACTCCTCTGCATCCCTCCTTGCAGCCTCCCCCGCCGCCTTGCACCGGCACCCCCTTGCACCCACCCTGCACGGCTCCCACCC